CGTCATGGGAAATAATGTACCTCATCGTTATAGAAATTTATAAATGTACATATGTACAAACAAACAAGTACATGTGTATATGATGTATGTGTTCTACTGAATTGAGTTTGAGTGTAAAATATTAAAATTAATCCATTAATAAACTCAAGCTTTGTACAAAGACCGGTTGGACCATTGCTTACTCAACTGCACCCACACAGCAATTTTCAAATCACATCTGGTTACATGTGCAGTAAAATATTTTTTGTGCTGTTTTCATTGGCAACATAAATATTGGTCATGGGGGGAAATACGAGCACATATTGACGCAGCCAAAAAAATCTGTGGTAATTTAATAACGTTCAAAGATATAAAAAATAATTTAGGCGGTGAGAATGCGTGAAGTCATACAAAGATATACATACATAAGTATGTGTAAGAGTACATATGTATGTACATAAGGGTGCCTCACCAACAAGTTGCAGTTATTATATTGTAAGACTTTCGCCAAAATATTTCGCAAATTATTAAGATTTACGTAAACTAGACCGAAAATTCTAATTATTTTTATTACGCTGAAACAATTTGTAAACATTTTAAGCATACCTTCTAAGCATAAACTGGCTTATTAAATATAGTTTAGAAATAAAAGAGGCTGATGCTTTGCATTGATGCAACTTGGAACTCAGCCACTCTTCTACGGCTACACTCTAAAAAAAAATTGTGTAGATTTCCTACCTAAAAGGTAGGTTACTGATTTACTACATTATTATTCGCGAAACTACATGCTCGATTATTCAACGAATAGTTTGTTTAAATTTCGGACTTTTTAGAGTGTAATATAGCTGCTGCGGTGTGCGTAAATTTACTAAGAAAGTGTGTACAAGCTACAAAATACACATCTGCTGTTATTATTTAAATTAAATTAATTAACTATAATTAAAATTAAAATTGTGTAAAGCCACTAACAAAGAGGATTTTTACTCACGAAAATGTGTAATCGAGGAAAATACATATTCATCGTGTAAATTTACCAAAAAAATTTAAAAATAAACAAAAATATACTCGATTTATAGTCGCATTTTTAAACAGAATTTTTAGAGTGTATCTCGGAAATGTGTTTTTGGAAAAAAATATTTTTGAAAACCAATTTTATTTATAAAAACGTGGATTTATGAAAATTTTTTCAAATTGGTTCAGTTTACATAAATTTTAATATTTTTCTGAAATATTTTATAATTCCGATGGGGAAACAGTACCGATTTTTTTTTTTTACTGACGCACCCTAATGTACATATGTATTTGTGCGGGCTATATATGTACATACATACATATTTACACATATACATAGATAGTATTTTTGTAAGCATCAATGAACTCTGCTATACGAATTCATTGAAGGCATAGAACTGTTAATTGGTAAATACTTCGCCTTACACGGTTATGAGTCATAAGCTGAATAACCAAATAAATGCAAAAATCAAACAACAAGTGAAGTAAAACTCTAATTTGTTTGTTATTCTCTTAGGTCTCTCGCTAAGATTATCGTTGTCAGACATATTGAAATCTTGATTTTCTGCTTTTATTTACGCTTTTAGCTTGAAGACATAAGAATATTAGTAAGAGCGAAAGAAAAAAAAATATGCATTTACCACGTTTCATTTCTAATGCCTTTAGCTTTCTTAAATTTATTTACCTGCAAAAGCAAATATTAATTCTGAATACTCAGAACTTTTCAAATATTTTTTTTTTCGTTTATGACAAATCATTTGCAAGTTTACCTACTCGTTACTACCTAAGCACCTCTTTTAATAAAAATAAATGATTTATTGGCAATAAATCGTTTGTTTTGTTCACCACTTCGTAGTAGTTAGTTAAAAAGTTGTTTGCAAAGAAAAAATAAAAATAAATCGTCTCCTCTGGGTCTGAAAAGAAATTCACGATTTCATGCTAATTAAAAAAATAATCTAAACAACCAGTTAAGGTTTTTATTGGCCATTAAACTTCATAACGACTTGCTTACTTAACACGTTGAATGCCAATGGAAGCGCGTACATAGTGTAAGGCTTTCGCTGTAAATATATCCCAGGATTACCCTTATAATTTGTTTTATTTCACCAAGGTTTGAAACAGATTTTATCGGAGCTCAACGAGCGGGTTAAAAGTTGTGTTAATAGATACAATACTGTGACCGGCACTATAGCTAGACGGGGAGTTAAGGCTGTGCATTCAGATATTCATCAGAGCCCGAATCAAGGCATCGGGGATTGAATGAAAACGCCCAAACCTATGAAAAATTTATGAGAATAGCCCCAACCTAATAAGATCCTCTCCTCCGATTCCTTTAGCATTCCGCACCCAGGGTGGCAGCTTGGTTTATAGTGCGAGTAAGTTTCGGCTGGATCCTCAAAGCAAAACTTTGTTTCGGTATATTCTTTTTTTGATTTCGTTACTCTGTACTTACTTAGAGTGTTTTAAGGATAAATTATTAGATTTCGAGGAATCCAATAGTTCACAATTTTCAAAGCATTTCCATTTTAAATAAACTTTCACCTATCGTAACCTACGCCAATTAATTTTTAACCCAACATATTTTATCTGCTAACTTATACTCGCATCAATTCACCAATTTATTTATGTATCTTCTTTTCAGACAAATCAACAAAATCGCCGTCGCTCACACCTTTCCCCAACTGGGAGGCTCACAGTCTGAGTGAACCCGATCCGGAGCTTGTATCACCCTTCCGCATACGCGCCGATCGCTGCGGACGCCTTTGGGTATTGGATTCACGCATCGCTGGCGTCTTGGAGAACACAACCATTTTCGGACCCGCTCAGCTGCTGGTGTACGACTTGCATAATGACAACCTGTTGCGTCGCTACCGTTTCCCCAGCAGTCATATAAAACAAGGTTCTTTCTATGCAAATCTAGCCGTGGAGGATGCCGACTGTGAGAATACTTTTGCATACGCTGCTGACTTGGGCGCTCCAGGTTTGGTGGTTTACTCATGGGCCGTAGATAATTCCTGGCGTGTGCAACACAATTTCTTCCACCCTGAGCCATTAGCTGGAAATTATAGCATTGGTGGTATAGAATTCCAATGGGATGACGGTTTGTATGGCCTAGCGTTGTCCAAGGCACAGCCAGATGGTTTTGCCACACTCTACTTCCATCCGCTCAGCTCAACGACCGAATTCGCAGTCAACACTAGAATGCTAAGAAATAAAACCTTGGCTACATCTAGTGGTATCTATCATGACTTCAAAATACTTGGAGCGCGTGGCATAAACGGACAAGCAGGTGCTGCATTTGTAGATCCACGCACAGAAGTTTTATTCTATGCGCTGCCAAATTTGAATGCTTTGGATTGTTGGAGTACAAACAATGCTGAGTATTCCGCAAGCACGCAAGGCCGCGTGTATTCCAGCGCATTGGATTTGGTATTTCCGAGTGAAGTGAAGGTTGATGCGGAGGATAGATTGTGGGTGCTCTCAAATAATTTACAAGAATTCATTTACGATGAACTCTACCCGGGTAGAGTAAATTATCGCATTTTGACAGCGAATGTGGTGGATGCCATCGAGGATACAGCGTGCGATACCAAGCAGAAACCGCTGCCAGAGATTATGAAGAATGAATTAGACACAATACTGGATACAGTGGTAAATAGAACCGAGCAGGTGACAGCTGCTGGTGTGGCAACGAGAAGCTTAAGTGGCATAGCATTTGTTGGAGCGGTGCTCTTGGGTTTGGGAAGTTATTTAATTTAAGCTTACATAAGTGTGTTTTAGAGAGTAAAGCTTTCGAAAATATTTCGATAATTTCGTATATATATGTAAATACATATAATTAAACTCCGTGGACCTTTGGCAAAGCAACTTTTGTGTTTTTAACCGACTTCAAAAAAGGAGGCGAACATCAATTTGTCCGAATAATTTTTTTTCATTTGGCTTAGTTCGGATCAGTGGAAAATGAGAACACTAACGGTACTCCTAAATTTTTATATGAGCATTCAAGTTACTTGTTGTGTTTTTTTTTTTGCTTAAAAATTACTTATTGAAATGATAATTTTAGATGAAAAAGATGACATAAAACAAACAACAGTTTTTTACTAAGCAATTTGTTAAGGTGGAATTTGCAACCATAGCGAAATATATATAATTAGTAAATACTTAATGAAAATATGGAATCAGAACTTTAAAACTGCAATGCCTTAGAGAACTCGAGATAAGTTGCTTTGTCAAAAGTCCACAGTGTGGCATTTATAATTAAAAAAATTTGCAAAAGTGTACCTATTAAACTTTTTACCAATTGTAAATTTGTTAAGTAGATTAGGGTCACAGAAAGGCAACTGCAGTGTCCAAGCTATGTGAGAGCAAAACATTGTAAATTTCAGTTTCTAAAAAAATGTGTAAAATACTTACGAAATCACAATTTTTATAAATACACTGAATAATTTTGAGCCTAGTTTTGCTTAAGCCATAAAATAAATACTTTAATATATTTTACAGTTGACTAAAGCAGCCAGAATTCTATATTTTTCCAAATAACAAGACAAAAAAACCTTTATGGTAATGTGTATATCGTCGATTGATGTGCAACTAGCGGTGTATGAGGTGGCACGAAAAAAAAAACAATAAAGAAGATATATATAATGATACGATTACTAGGGAGAGCAGAGAAATTCAGTTAAGCGAGTTTTGGATTTCGCCTACAAATAAAATTGAAAACCACCACCTTCATCAATCCAGTCATATAGTGAATGAAAAGCAGTGAGTCCCAAAGGTATATACAACATGGAAAAGTAACAGAAGTAATAGGGGTATTCTCTGAGTCTTGCAAAGCCATTGCACGCTGCACGGATTGCACAGTTTGCAAGGCTGTCCCATACGAAAACCGGTTTTTATCGTGCAATCTGTGCCCCTTGCAGGTGTTTTGCAAGACTCACATAATACTCCTAATGTGTAATCAGCCAAATCTTGCTTGTTGAAAAATTAGCGATAGCGAATGTTGGGATCGGGCTGAAGGACTTCTTTCCGAAAAAAGACACATAGGCAGGTGCCTAGGGTGGCATAATTTAGGGGCGGAAAAATTTGAGTTGAAATTTTTTTTTTTAAAATTTCAGAATTTGTGTTTGTACATTTTAAGACATAAATTTGAGATTCAATTACGCAATCAGAAAATAGGACAGCACTGTTAGGTATGTATTTTTCATGATATTATTTAAATGATATAGTTAAAAATACTAATCTAGTATTTTTGAGATTATAACTTATCAAGTGAAAAAAGTTACTTGATGTTGGCTTTCTTTAAAAGTTGAAAACTTCTACTTAAGGCAAATACCACTTTTCCATCTTAAATTGTTATAAAAATATGGTAAATAACATAAATTTCAATATAAGAAACGACAAAATACAAAACATTTAAAATTTTCCAGCACTTCTGTAAATTTATTAAATTTCAATTAGCTACGCGAAATTTAACTACAAGCTGATATTATAAGCAGAAGAGCTTAAAAATCACCCTCATCTCCAAGTTGGCCTTACAAACGCTCCCTGAAGTTCCAAAGTTAATATATGTATAAAGATGATCTACATTTCTACAAACAAACCAAAACAAGAATCAATTTTTCATATACAACTCATTTTGTTGTTTGGTTATAGTGGCTATATCGACTGTTGTGTCAGTTGCATGACTATTCTGAGATCGACGTTCTGCTTCGTCCTGAAGTTGTTTTTCATGTTTTAGCTGCTTCTTAATAATGCCACCACAGAAAAATAGGGCCATCTGCAATAGGCGAGAGCACACATCCGAAAAAGTTATCTGACGTAAGTAAAAGAATTTCTTAAATATATATACATATGTAATTGCTTACATGCTCCAATATGCCGATCAGGCCGAGCACAGAGAGACCCAATAGGAAACCCAACGAACCGCCAATATCAGCAATGAATTGTGTGGCATCATAGCTGGGACTCTCTTCAATCATCTGTTAACAAATAAATAAGAGTAACATAGAATAAAAATTAGCATTAAACATTACCGATACTAATTTTGTGGTGTAGTAAATCCATAATTGTGTGTAGGACGCTCCCAAACTCATTGTTTTTCTATTTTGTACGTAGGTTGAATAAATGCGTGTATCGCAGCGTTGTATGCAATTACATTCTACATCATCGTCACTAGCGTAGTAGCTGAAAATGCGAAACTAAGTTGAGAAAGAGAGAGCACTGTTTTGTTGCAAGAATGATAGAATACAAGATTGCGCCTATCAGAGAGGATTTTTTTAGAATAACTTTTGACGTGACGTCACACTGGTGCAATTGCGAGAGAGAAATGCCAAAACGTGAGCAAGAATGGAAGAAGAAGAAAAAATGTTGCAAGGAAAATGTACACAAGTTGCACAAGTGTGACGTCATACAAACAACGATTCTGTCAAATTCATTGAGAGAGGAAAAGCGGTACCGTGATTGGCTCAACCTATATTTCTCTCAATCGTGGTTTTGTTGGCCTACTTACATTCCATACTCCTTTACCAAATTTCGCATTGTTTTGCTGCTGTTGCACGGATTCTGGGGTATATCGCGCATCCAAGGACCAGTGCAGTTGGCTGTGGCGGCGAGCTCTTCGAAAACGCATAACTCGGCACACTGAAAGAGGAATTCAGTTATATTTAAGTCTATTCAGTTGGGGGAATAGCAAATGTACATACATACCTTCATGTCACTGTAGCTGGGAATGGAAGAACATGGCGTATCTCGGGATTCTGTATTCGAAAACTGCTGGCTATGTAATTTTATTTCAATTTCCTCATTAATTTCTGCAAAAATATACTCTATGCGAGCGGCACCTTTTACATTGAGTTCTGTGGAAAAAATAAATCGAAAGTATGCACTCATGGAGTCAAGTAAAACTGCAAAGATATAAGTTGAAGACGACTAAGCCCGTAACGAGCACCTTTAACGGTTTTCTTTGTGGAGCTTTAAGCTTTTCGCCATCTCATACTCACCTGTGAATTCATGTCGATAGTCGTGTATGTAAACATGCCAACCTGGATTATTTTCCAATGTCATGTCCGTTGTGGCGCTCGGGTCAACGTGATGCGTAAGCATCAGAGAATAGCCGGTTGAGCGTGTGGTGCGCGTCAATTCTACTTTTGGCTTCAGTGTAAAACAGCGACCCAGATTGAAATGTAAGCTACTTTCGATTTGCAAATCTTTGAAAAGGTTACACAAAATTCATAAGAAATTTATAATTCTTGCAGCTTATTGCTGGAACTTACTTTCCTTAAACCCATTAAGTCCATATTGTTCTCCCAGAAATGTTTCTTCCAAATCAAATGTTGAATTTTGAAAGAATTCATCAAGTTCCAATTCATTGAAAGGGTAAGCGGACCAACAGGTTACGTATTTTGGGTGCGGACATACGCCATTCGAAAGTTTCTGTTTGAACAAAAAAAAGATGCATACACTGAGAAAAAAATTAAGCATATCGGGTTGATTTTATCATTGTTTTGTATACGTTAAACATATTTTTGTTTGCAACTACTTTTGTGTGAAATCGTAACTTCCCAGATGCTCTTTCATAATTGAGAAAAAATTAACGAAAAATAAAAATCGTATATATTTATGCGATATTTGCATGCACTGTGGGGTAATTACACTGTAAAGAAAATCTCAAGTTCTGAAATGACACAAAAAAAAACGCAGAAACACGTGAAATTAAGATTGGGTCGTGGATTTCAGATCTGTACACCATTTTTCTGGATCAGGTAATTTTTCAAAGATATTTTAATTTTTATGCAAAAATTCAAATGCTAACAGGGGAAAAATTAGCAAATCTATTGCAATTTTTTCCACTTGAATTAAAGTCTGTTCTTTTGCAAAAAAAGCAAGCTAATAAAGATAAAAAACAATGAATGAATAAAAATAAATAAGAAATAAATGAAAATGTGAAATTTGTGTTTTTTTTTTGCAGAAAATAATGTTACTCATACGCCACATCGCACATAGCGCATACTATTCCATGAATAATATTTTCCATTTTCAAGTTTCATTTTTTTTTCAATTGCATTGAAAACTTAAAATGAAAATTTCTTGTGCAAATGACTTGATCTAGAAAAACGGTGTCCAGATCCGCAATCTACGACCCAAAAAAGTTTACGTGTCTCAGCATTTTTTGTGAAATTTTAGCGTCCCTGTAGTGTTATTGACCTTCACCGCGGTGAAAATAAAAATAATTTAAGGTTGGATTTCTAGAAAAACTGAAGAATGGTTTTCTAGCTGAACTAACCAAAATACATTTTTTTTTCTGTTCCACCTCATGCGTGGTATTGTAATTGGCGGATATGAGGTATTGCGCGCCAAGTGACGATTTGTCGTTCGATGGCGCACACCACAAATAGCACACGAGCAGCTCGGCCAAGCACTAGCAAACCTGGAAGCATCTCATGCTATTCCTACTCACGACTTTCTGCTGCTATTTTCTTACTTTTAAAAATACGCCTGATTCTTCCCTTTTGTGCTGGTACCGCTCAATTGTCGCGCGTGTCGGATTCAGGGTGGCTTCGAATGATGCGTATTTCTCTGCATCACACGTTTTGTAATACCAACTGTTCCAGAGTGGGTGATAGTAGTAGTAGTAGTAGAGTTTGGGACATCGATTCTGACTGCTCGTTTATATCGGGTCGACGAGAAGTTTGTTGTTCAAGTGGCATTCATAGTCGATTGCAAAAATTCTCGGTTTGCGTTTATTGCTGTAGCTTTTCGATGTCGACCTTGCGTCGCACCCTAACGACGTTGTCAATTTGGTTTTTCATCAGGGGACCCCCAAATGCTTTTATGCCGAGGCCTCTGTGCCCAACTACTAATCTCACATCAAACTTGTAAGCCGACTGCTCGCTGCAAATTTTTCGCAATCGTAACCAGTCCATCCCTTTCCTATAGAGGGTTTGGACATTCCTAGCGCATATCCGTGAAGGTATGAAGCCATCAGCCTAACAGACAGCACAGATCTTACAATCGCAAAAACTCGCAAATAACAACTTATTAGAAAAATAAATGGAAAAATCGGGATTTAAAAGCTAAAAAAATAATAATAATAGATTGGCTAGTGTTTGGCCGAGCTTTTCCTCCGATTTGTGGCGTGCGCTTTGTTGATGATGTCACACTCATCGAACACACACAAAGGGACCCACAGGTTTACGTCGACTCCGAAAAGCGAAAGTATTTTTTTTTTTTTATGAGAAGCAGTTTTTCACTGCAAAATACACTCGGAAGTTTGCCATTGCCTACCAGGAGGCGACCGCTATTAACATAAATACACTTGATAAACTATTGAAAAATACTATTTGTCCTATATGCAAAATCTCCAGCTGCTTTATTTCAAATGCAGACCAAACTAGCCATAAACCTAATGTAAAACCTCTTAATTTTATCAAAAAAGATAAGTTTATGCAAATGTATGTATTATTGCACATATCCAAAATATGGTTAATCATTCAGAGCCCGATATTATAAGTAATCCGTTAATATACCATATCTTACATTCATCACAGTTTCCTTGTAAGGCGGATCGCGACAAATGGTAACAGCCGGCATTTCCATGGTGTCGTTCAAATTATAATACGAATGAGTTGATATCGGTGGGTCGTACAGTTTGGAAAAGCACTCGGTCAACTACACAAAATACAAAGGATACACAATTATTACCATAGCCGAGCACGCATTAATTTTGCATTCAATATACTACGAGTATTCACTAAATTTACACATATTTTGCAATAATATTTATTTTGCATATGCAAACATTTGACACTTTAAATTAAGCGATTTTCGATACCTGCACAATCACAATGATCGAGCACACAAACAATACTATATAGCGTATTATTTTGCCAGGATCTCTCAATATCCAGGCCCAAAGCTCTCTCCAATAGCCCATAGTTGAGTGTTGAGGGCACACTGGTGACGTCCGTTCTTCGTAATATGCGCCTATTAGTATGCACCGCTGAATTCAAACTGAAAGCACGCGCCGAGCACTGACTCTTGTTGACGCTTGTTTACCTACACACGACGCCGAGCATCTTGACTGGGTTCCCACGACAAGTCACATTTGTCAATAGATAAAGTCTTATGATTTATTATCCATGTCGGTGGGACATTTGCGATTTGCTTATTCCGTAACGCTTGTCGCACTTTGATTGTACTATACTGTATCTACCCTGTGGGGAAAATCTCCAGTTCTGAACTGTTGCGCTTCTAGTACATTTAGACCCAGTACTGGTTCGCGTTAAATCTCTTTTGCATGCAAGCAACTGGCGAATTTAACACGGCGATGTCCTAGGAAGTGTCAATTGCCCCCCACTGCATCCCTTTTTCTATAGTTCCGAACTAGTCCTAAATTCTATAGTTCCGAACCAATTCTAAAATCGACAGACGAAAGAAAAAAGTATCATGATTTTTCAATCTTTTTGGTTCTTCCGTGTGTGCGATTTTAAGTTATTTTGGAAGAAATGTGTTTTCAATTTGAAATTAAATTTGTTTCAATGATTGTAAGAAATGTACATTTACATACCTTTAGCTGGAGTTGAGTTTGCAGAGTTGCTCGCTGTTATTTCTTAGATTCTAGACGGCCCCAAGATGTTAATATGTTAACACAAAGTTTTGTTTTGTATTACCAAACTATGAAATAGCATCTACGAAGTGCAGAATGAAAGTCCATTTGAACGAAAAAGCCGCCAAGCACGTATCTATGTAAAGTAAATAAGCCCCCCGCTGCATCCCATTTTCGATAGTTTCGAATTAGTTCTAATTTCGACAGATAAGATCTAGTTCGTTCTGCGTCCCTTTTTCTATAATTCCGAACCAGTTCTAAAGTCGCCAATTTAGATATAGATTTCTAATGAAAAAAGAGAAGTAAAATAGTTGTTTTAAGAGTCCCACATTTCGCTGATTTTGAACTGGTGGGGATCTACTTACTATCGGACTGGTTCGTTTTTGGCGATAAAGATCTTGTACGGAACTAGAAATTGTATGTACCAGTCCGCGGTTTCCCTGCAGGGTAATTTGATAGACCGTAAGTAGGTGTGTATGTATGTAATCGTGTGATAAGTCTGAACATAACCGTAATTCTGTGGCAAACACAGCCAGTCAGTGAAAGTGATGTATGCATCTGGACAATGTACATATGTATGCTTGAGTGCTGCTATTTATTTGTTAGATAGCTGTTGTCAATGTGATGGCGATCAAAGTAAAATAAAATACAAATTTGCATTTATTATCGTAACTAATCTTTATTACAAACATTTGTTAGGCTATAGTCAAAAAAAAATCTCAGCGATTGCCAGGAGAGCGTATACATAGGTATACATATGTATATCTGGGACCTTATGGTGTCAGCCACTGCATCGATTATCTTACATCGTTTCTATTGCCGATGGTTTTAGTGTTTTTATGTAAAATATTTCGGACACACTTTGTTTCGTTTTGTATGTACAGGGTGATGCTGATTTTCATTAAAAATAGAAAACAGAAAAATACCATAATTTTTATTAATATATACAATTAACAACAACAACCATGCTGTCAAGTTTATATAGAAGGTTTAATAATATATTTTATTAATTATTATATTTTTTATATTTTGATATTTTTAGCCATTCAACTTTTTGTTCGTGCAACCCTGAGTTCAGTTAAACGCAAAGTTAAATAACGCAAATCCTGCTTAAAACACAAAAAACGTGATACAAAGCTCAATAACACTATTGGAAAGAAAATAAAATAAAATTTGTTGAAATAACTTTCAATGTGCCGTATGAATAAAAAAGAAGCAATTGCTTCTTCTTAAATTTCAGATCTTTTACTTAAATTTATTTGAATATATCGAGGAAAGGTCTAAAATTTTACGAAAAATCAATTGCTTGTTTTTTATTCATACAGCTCGGGCTAATTGGCATAAATCATACTTTTCAAGTAGCCTGAGAAAAAGAAGTTCAATAGTGTTAATCCCAGGTCTGTAAACCGCAGTCTAGCAAAATCTTGGCAGTTTAAAAGGAAGTGCTGAGATGATTCCACCTCGTCGTTTTCCATGTAGCTGACATAATGGGGCCCCGGTGATCGGACATTGTCTTGTCAATTCACCCACCTGAATTGAGCCATTCAGTTTCCTGCGATATCACTATGGCCTGGCACCCATATAAGTCTGACAAGGTAAAACTCGGCTTTGTCTGTTATATGAGTTCTGTTCTTAATCTTAATCTTAATCTTAATTTCAATCTTAATGTAAATCTAAATCTGAATCTAAATCTAAATCCAAATCCTAATCTTAATCTTAATCTCAAATCTGAATCTTAATCTCAAATCTAAATCTGAATCTTAATCTTAAACTCAGTCATAATCTTAATCGTTATATTAATTTTAACTTTAATTTTAATTTTAACCTTAAACTCGATCTTCAATTAAGCATAGCCTTAATCTTAATCTTAGTTTTAATCTTAGTTTTAATCTAAATCTTAATCTTAATATCTATTAATTTTAGTCGAAATCTATCTCGTGCTCAACCACCCCGGAATTAGAGTAGGATGATTGTGTTGCTTTTTCATTACATCGATGTTTGTCCAAACTGAGCGCACAAAAGTTTCATTTCAAAAATTGTTTTTAGTATATATATTCACAATTTACGTATGTTATCAATGCAAAAGATCGTCAAAGCAACTGTTTTATATAAAAAAAATAAAACAAAATTAACAAAATTTTAAATCTTTATCCAACACTCTATGGTAATTTTTTTCAATTCATTTTCCCACACGTTTATTAAATACTTATTTTTATATTGGCAAACAAAAATTAAGTAAATTCTCAAGAGATGACGTCAAAAAACTAATTCACGTTAGGAGCTTTTCTCACACACTAACAAATTTGTACGCAAGTCCCCGCAGGAAAAAGGAAGTAAGTTGTTCGTAGTTCCCGAAACAAATGTATCCACGTCTCAATAGTTAACTTGTAGCGAACCAACGAATTAAATAAGGGGCTGACGAAAAATATGTCGATTCACGTCCTTCTTCACTACCAGCGTACTGGAATCACCCATTTTAAGAGAATACGAGCAAATATTTAATTTAATTTCCTTTGACGCGTCTTTCCAAAATCCCAATAAAAATTTGGGCTAAAGATCAATTGGTGATCCAATACATATTTCAATTTCCAGCGTTGACTTTATAGTGTACCTCAATTGGATAATGGATTGACCATTCTCTGACAAAAGGGCACATTTCTTGTATGCCAAATAATCTGATTTCTACACTTGAGAAAAGCCTGAATGTCAATTTGAATTCAAACTTTATTCAACTTTTAGTCAAACCTTCGCAAAAATTTCTTGCATTCTCATGAAACTATTCGCGAAACCAGTCGATCACCGAGAAATATGTTTAACATTTCCGAAACTAGTTCACGATTTTCAACAGGGGGGTTTTTGAAAAAAAAAAAAAACTTACAAAAACAAGCACATAGTACGTGCATACACATTTGAGCGCTTTTGGCCGAAACAACAGAAAAGGAGCATTGAGCATTCGGTTCGTCAAAATGAAATCTTTGTGCGTGCTAAAAATACCAGTACACATTTTCAAAATAAAAGCAACAAATACATAAACATAAAAGCTCTAACACGCACATAACAAACATGTGTTAAAAATATGTATGTGAATTTTTTAGAGTACTAATCGTATTGAAACTAGGAACATGAAAATTAATAAAAAAAAAAAACATGAAATTCGTTTTAGAACCTCATACATGTATGCGAATCTGCGTGCGTATATTAATATGCATGTATGTACATTAGACCCTACCAGAAAAAAGTTCGTCGTACACCTCTGAGTTAAAAGTATTTTTGAAAGGAAATTTTTTATATTTTTCATCATACCTTCGGCATTTACACTCGGATTTTAAAGCATAATATATCGATAGTCCAAAGTACGTTGACCTCAAATAACCCGTTCTAGTACTTATCTATCAAATCCTTCTTCCCTGATGTCAATTAATTAAAGCTCTCCAAAAATCGTAAGTCGACACCGAAAGTTTTGAGTTTAATTTTTAATATGGTAGACATTTTAAAAAGATGAAATCATATTTGGCAAAGATATGACGTTTCATTCATTCAACCGAAATTTTTAACTACTCCTATTGAGTGAATCATGAATCGCTTTCTATTTATTACCCTACTATATAATCAGATTATCAATTTTGAGAATTGCAAAGCACACTGTCATAGCTTAATTGCACTGCGGTAAAAAATCAACCAAAAATTGTTTAATATTACCAAATTCAAACTTGAGAAGGAATCGAAGTGATTTTCGTTTATATTTTCAACAATGATTTGGTAATATTAATCACACTTTTGTTTACATTAAACAAATTTTTGTTTGCCGATTTTTTCGTTTGGCTACGGTTATGTTCTGCACTTTAACGATGCCTTTTACGTGTTGCCTCTGATGGAAATTGAAGCCTTCTGAAAGTTAGCAAATAACAGCAAGCATCTCTGCACATTCGAACCTGGACCTGCTGGAAGCAAACAATAAACAGCAAGCATCTCTGCTCGTTTAACTACAGCCAGACATGGAAATGTGTTTTCAAATGTTCCACTTGAATCATTTCCTACGATCGATGAATTTACCATGAAAAAATCAAACAATAGCTTGGTGGAAAAAACCATTGTACTCAGTGTGAGAATGGCTCAGTGTGAGAATGGAAAAAACTAGATTAGTTATGTCTAGGGCTCGGAATCTCATCCAAATGCATGTTTTTATTGGGCATCTTCAAATAAAAATCGTTAAATTATCTTTACGAATCTTGCAATTTATTTTAAAATGGCTTCAATCGTTAGTGCATATTATTAAAACGCTTTTATCAACTTGCAATGTTGTGTGTCCAGAAATATCATTTTATAAGTTTTAGTCCATTTATAAAAGCGTGGTAGTGGAAAATCTTTCGAAAAAAATTACCTATAATTTTTCGCAAATATTCATTTGAATATCTTCCCGGTTAGCCAAGCGGTCATTAAGGCACTCTCTTCTACCCCCGAAACTACCCTAATATGGGTGCCGGGAC